CTGAAAATCTTCGCTCACACTGAACATTCCAACCTCTTTTTGTTGCATTTATAACACATCCGTAATATTTCCGAGTATCATTTATAAGTCGAACTCGATCCACCGGTAACGGCTGGACTAATAAGCAATCAGTATCATTAGCAACATTTTCAAATAATGAATAACGAGATAAGAAATCTGCATGAGGTATATCCTTTGCCGATCTATGTTCAATAGTGTAATCATATGCACTTAGTTCTAAACTCCATCTTTGAACCATATCAACAGATGATTTATTCAAGGATTTTTCTGGATTGTAAATGGATTTCAAAGCCTGATGATCAGTAACTATGTGAAACTTAGTACCAAAGAGATACTTGTGCAAGCGTCTTATTGCCCATACAACTGCTAAAGCTTCTTTCTGGGTTTGTGAGTACCCTTGTTCACTCTTACTTAGACGTCGTGAAATACAAATGACAGGTTGTCCATTTTGCTCAAGTACTGCAGCTATACCCATAGGAGAAGCATCTGTAGTGAGAACAGACTTATCTTTCGATGAAAAAGGTCTTAAGAAAGCTTGTTTATTAAGAAACTCCAAAGATTTCCGCAAGATATCATCATGTTGTTGTTCCCACTTAAATTGTTTACTGGAGACAATATCAAAAAGCGGAGATAACAGTTGAGTGAAATCGGGAATGAATCTGGGGTAAAACTGAAGAGTACAAATCCATGATCTCAACGATGACATATTATTAGGTGACGGTGCTTGAATCAGAGGTGCCAAACGACTAGCATCAGGTCTGAAACCCTCAGAGTCTACTGTGTATCCCAAGCATGATACAGACGACAAAGTGAAATAGCATTTAGATGGACTAACAAGAACATTATTCTCACATAAACACCTGAACAGTTTCAAAAGACGTTCGTTATGCAATTCGATGTTCGGACCATGAACTATAATGTCGTCTTGGTAAGACTCAACACCATCTAATCCATCTATCATCTGATTTATTACATTTTGAAATATTGCAGGTGAAACCTTTAAAGCAAAAGGCAAGAACTTGTACTTGAACAATCCAAATGGAGTATTAATGGATGTTAATGCACTAGACGCTTCGTCAAGAGAAATTTGCAAATAGGCATCTTTTAGATCTATTTTGGAAAAGTATTTTGAGCCATGTAATGTAGCTTGTACAGAATGTCTTCGGTTTCTAGTGTAGTGCAACTTTGATGTAGAAGACGATTATTCAGTGTTAGGCGGTAGTCACCACAAATTCTCGGTGTCTTTCCATCAGCCTTGAGTGGCGTCACAATGGGAGTAGCCCAATTCGAAGATTCAACTGGCATAAGTATTCCCTGCTCAACCAACTTGTCTAACTCTTTCTTAACTCCATCTCCCGAACCATATGGGATTAATCGGCGCCTCAGGAAGATAGGATCACCCTCTATTTCAAGATGGATGGGCTGAATCTTCATGCCACCTACACCCTTTGAACATTGGAGAAGTAATTCTCTGAACAAAGATTCATCAAACAACTCAGTACAAAGTGAAATTTCGACATTTAACAATCTAAGGGCTTTTAATCCCAATAAAGATGGACCATATTCACTAACAAGAAAGGGAATATTTACAAAATTACCACTGTCTGATTTCAAACAAATGTTAGTAGCACAAATAAGAGGTAGTTCATGACCAGTTATGCCTGTAATTGAACTAGTAGTAGGGTCTATCTGGATATTCTTACAAATCGATTGTAAATCTTTCTTAGAAATTATGGATTCAGTACTCCCAGTATCAATTATAAAACAATAGTTGAGACAATGCTCAATGCTAGATAAGTGAATGAAGTAACCTCTTCCAAATCCCTCCTGTTGATGGTGATTGACGCTGGATGTTGCTGTTGTTGTTGTTGGTTGGTTATTTTCATGACGTCCGTTTTGTCTATGTTCACTTGGAGTCCTCTCTTTGCTGCTTCTTCGACTAGTTTGTCGGTTTTCGCTTGTAAGTCTTCTATTTTGTGTGACATCAAACATAAATCATCCGCGCGCGAAATCCATGTGCAGTAATTTATTGCACTTGTAATATTAGTATTTCGAGATGACTGAATTACACGAATCCAATCAAAACTCAGAGAGGGCAGCAATCCGGAATTTGTATTTAGCGGAATTCTAATGCAATTCATATAAGAAACATATCAACAGTCAACAGTAAGTATTTTAAACAATACAGAGATAGAAATTGTCAATCACCACATCCGCCACACCTCGAATATCTCCTCGCGTATTTATAACGATGTCTCGGTTTGCTTGCAAGTAGCTTCGACCTAACTGATTCTGTGATATTATTTTCATCAGTATTATCTGGACCTATTTCTGAATTATCTACAAAATCAGGATTATTAGCGGAATCAATAATATTATAATTGGAACGACCTACTTCATTTATTGTCACTTTGTCCAGGTTTCCGTTATGAACTGAGTGATCTTTGATGTCTAATATCTTCACCACTCGATTTCCCATTTTTTGTAGTATAATTCCAACAGAAGGTCTATAGTTATTATCTTTGTAATAATGTACATTAGAAGTCGTGGACATCAGATGCTTTTTGAGAATTCGAGATTTGAAAAGTTTTGCAGGACTTTCACGGGTACTTGTATGCTCTGCATTCGCCCGACGCAGTCTGTGCATATGCAGTAATTCCTCAATTTTAATCAGTTGCTCTCTCATCTCATTCAGGTCTTTTCGTGTTTTCGACAGTTCACATTGTAACTCAGCTACCTCATTTTTGAAAACAGTTGACACTTGAGTTGCCGAACTTGTAGTGGAGGTTTTCATCGGATTAGCTTGAGTACTTTGAAAGTTTGAAAGACACATTGACTCCATTTCACTAGACAGCTTGGGAGAATTATAAGAATGTTGAGCAACATAAGTATTCGAACTTCTGCAAATCGTCTTGATGTGTCCAACTTTACCACATTTGTGACACTTAGCATCCCGAAAACGGCAAGTGCTTCGTAGATGTAACTTTCCACAGGAAAAACACGGTTTAATGTTTTTGATCTCTGGCTGCATTCTGTTACCTGTGGACGGCAGTTTCGATTGCTTTCCATGACCACTTGTATTTTCGACTTTAGAAAGCATGACATCAGATACTGACGTAGTGGGAGCAGAGTATTCATTATTGACATCTTCATATGTAATACATAAATCTTCAGCATTTTATAAAGTACAAGAAGGAATCTGAATTAACTCTTTCTCTAACTTAGGAATATTGATTCCAGCAATTAGACGATCACGTAGTTGAGTATGCAGCTGATCTCCAAAGTTACACTTTGAAGCTTGATTTTGAAGTTGAAGAATGAACTCTCGAATCTTCTGGTTGGGAGCACGAAGAAGTTTGTTGAACTGAGCCCTCTCTCTGGTCTCCAATGTAGTTACATGAAAGTGATTTATAAGAAGTTCACGGAGTTTATTATATGGCAGAGAAATCGGTTCATCTGGAAATGACAGAGTCTTCACTAGGCTATATGCATCTAGCCCAATAGTAGTGATGAAATGTGCTGGAATTTTGTCATCCCGAACATTCTTTGAAATGCACCACGCATCGAAGCATTCCAAATAATCAGCAATCTCCCGCGGAGACCCATTAATAGGAATTTTTCCCAGGTTATTTAGTTCCATCGCGACGCCAATTTGTAGTAATTTATTGTAATCGTAATATTAGTATTTCGAGATGACTTAATTACAAGAATCCAAACAAAACACAGAGAGGGCGGAATTCAGGAATTTGTATTTAGCGGAATTATATTTCAATTCATATAAGAAATATTAACAATCAACAGTAAGTATTTAAACAATACAGAGATAGAAATAGTCAATCACCACAGTACCCCATAATCCACAAGTAACCGAAGATCGTTTAGACCTCGATGAAGTCACTAGCACAGCGACAGCTACCTAATCTTCTGTTGAGCCTCCTAAGAAAAGCCGTTCTGGACGCACCGTAAGGTTCCCAGAATATCTGCATACTTATATGACATAACTAAGTCGTGTGATTCACGCAACTCATCCGTTTGTCGTACTAAATATTTTTTTAGACGTATCAATTTTTTTTATGCAGTATCACTTAACACAACTAAATTTTTTTTCCAACAGTACATGTAACATGCACAAAAAATTAATTAGATGCATTTTTTTTCGATGTTCTGAAGTTAACATTATTTTACTGTATAGTAAATGCGCATCATTTTTTTTTAAAAAGCTGATTTGGTACATTTTCCTCGACATGGTTCTTAGTGTTCTTGTTTTCTTTTCCAGGTGCGACGGGCACTGGACAGGAAACAAACGAAGCACAGAATCCAGCGAACAACAACAAGGAAGCTATGTACAAACACCCTATTAGCATAGGCAGACAAACCAGTAGGCATACCACCAAGCCGCTCGGAAGATTTTTTTCACTCGAAAGGGACCCATCGAATTTTTTTTACTTCCGGCTGGTTCTGTCTTAGGGTCCTCACCACCCCATTAGGAGGGAGTGAGCTGTAGCGGTAAATAATTCCCCAAAATTATTGACCACAGCAATCACTCACCATTGGATGCTGACCACCACTGTTTAAGTCGACTTGTTTACCTGAAGGCTTCCGGTCAAGCATCCCCGCCATTTGGTACCCCGTCGTGTCAGGTGCACGATCATTAGCCAGCTAAGCGTTCGTCTGAAGGCTTGTTTTGGTCCCAAAATATATTACGTAGTTTGGACGATCAAAAATTAGCTTTTGCTTTGTCTTTGGTACGCGAGAACTAATAAATAAGAGGCTGTGTAAGAGAATTCCGCCAACCTTTAAAGAATAATAATACTAATGTCATTCATTTGGAGCAGATTAGCAAAATAATCGTTGAAGATGAAATGCTTGAGGTTTAACTGAGTTTTCGGAATTCTTCGATTCCCTACAAGTGTACGACTGTGTAGGGTACTAAAGATGATTTCGGCCATACTATTATAGTACATCCGCGTTTTCACGTTCCACGATGTGCTAACGTTGTACACGGTCACAAATGAACAACGTTATATTAAGAAGCGATAGTGAAAATTTGAAAAGATGTATTGTTATCAAAATTCAATTTCAAAAGAGGTAAAAACCAACGAAAAGTGTATAACCACGTAAAAATACATGAGTAACAAAGAAAAGTAATGTTCAACAATAAAATGGCAAATATTCCACAAGCATATGTGAAACTGGTTTCTGTAAACGTACAACATGCGTGCATGAATTAGCTTTATAAGTGTGCAGTTAAGTTGAATATAGGGATTTTACAACTGACCACCAAATGGTTGTTCGGTCTTCCAAAATTTCAAGATCATTCGAATTTTAGGTGGTCGTCTAATTAACTGTCTGAACACTCTGCAGAAAAAAGGACAAAATGGAGGTGTGATTTTGAAGCCCCAAATAATAATAATAATAATAATTTCGCTGTTTAAGTCGACTTGTGAGACTGAAAGTGTGCAGTTAGATATCGACTCCTTATAGCATGTTGCAGTCTTACGTTCGGCTGTCTGCCTATGCAATCTAGCTGTCTAAGTTGACATTATCACGTAAGTAGAACAAGTACGGTGGGATATAGGGAATTTACACCTTCATTCTCAGCACCAGTTGACATCCATCATCTTCTAAAAGCCTCTAGTTGATATTAATTATCCAAAGAATTTCATGAAGAGATATAAGGCTGTCAGAACATGAAGACCCATTCTGCAACTCGCCACTAAGACGGAGGTGTATACCAAGCTACCCTACATGGACAACTGTAGCAGATTAGTAACTAAACCTTAACTTAAACATATCTTTAAAACGTTTTTGAGGTGTATCCTAAAGTTTGTGAAAGCCCTAAGGATTAGCAATTTCAAACTATCAATATATGTTCAGAAACAGTTTGTTATCACATTAAACCTTTCTTGTTAAGATTTGTTTTGATACCACGACAGATGTACTGTTGTCTCTCCTTCATTGACTTAATAATCTGAGTTGTTATTTGGACCTTCGATATTGCATTTCAACTCGACCTGTGTCCATTCTCTCAACCTATAACACTTCATTATTTTCATATATATATATATATATATATATATATATATATATATGCCATCCTCAGGCATCTCCTTGACACGCGCCATGAGTTGGACGTCGCAAGATCGTTCAAAATTATCAATAGGCAAAAGAGCTTAATTCCCCTCAAGTTTGCTGAAGCCATCTCCATCAGGCGCCTGAAGCCTGATTTATGCGTTAAGAAAGAAGCAGTTATCAGTCTTTCTTTGCCCTGGTCACTGGATATTTTCATCTCTCTTGCATCTGATTACGTAATGTTGAAAGTTTCCATTGTGTATGATCATTACTGTTCAGAATAGTGTTCAATATTACATATATATATATATATATATATATGTATTCATTGATTTTTGTTTAAAAAAGAACTTGGTGTAATTATGTTGAAACTGTTTCTGTAGATGTATTTAATAATGACTTTGGCCTGTAGGCAGCTTATGGGAAGACAACGAAATAAATGATGGTACCGTCTTAGTCTGCAAAAACTGTTGTTCTCGCCTTATTCATATGATTGTTTTTTGTTGTTGCTTGAAATCTATAAAGAGAACTTATTGTTTGAAATCGAATCAATTAACGGGATTTCCATATTACTTTGTTTATTAGATAAATCACACACACAGCGAAACAGTATTATTTACTGGATGACGTTTCGAACACAATTTATTGTTCATAATCACAACAAATATAATCACACAACTTCGAAACTTTACTTTTATAGTTTTCTTTATTCTTTCCCATTTGTCGTAGAGATAGTAGGGTTTGCCAGATGTCAGAGTGGACAGGTGTTGAATCATTCCTGTCACACTTGTTTGCAGTTGATTTGATAGATAAAGCTTCCGTTATCAATCTCTCCCTGCACCCTATTACATTAGACCTTAGAACTATCAAATAGGAAGGAATAAAGAAAAGTATAAAACGGAAATTTCGAAGTTGTGTGATTATGATTGATATGATTATGTTCGAAACGTCACACAGTAAATAATACTGTTTCACTGTGCGTGTGTGATTTATCTGATAAACAAACTAATATGGAATTACATACTACTGTAACAACATAAGACAAGGGCCAGGCAACAGATCGTTTTATTATGAAAATCAACACGTATTTATACATATTTCACATACATTATTATAGCTTATGCAAGTAGACAAGCGCAGTCATCTGATTGGTTGTTTATCAGAAGTTAGGCAGACAAACGCAGGCTTCTGTTTGGTTGTTTCGGGATTCCTCGACAAATAGAGTTCTCTATCTGCGAATCATATTTTGCCACGTTAACTTTGCTGTGATTGGTTGTTGAATCAGCCTTGCTCATATTTTCTCACGGCCTGCTCTCACCACACTACCACTGTGCCCAAACACATATGGTGTTCCTGTTCGAAAACTAATAAATAAACTCACCTGACTTTCGCAAAGTGAAGCAAGATATGAAAATCACTATATTTTCAACATTCAGTGCTTGAAAAGTGAAATCAGTTCTAAGTACCTACGTCCACAAGCTCCAGTTCCAAAAGAAAAAGAAACAGAATAGAAAGTCTACAAAAATTACTCCTAGAAGAAGAGACCCACAGAATTGTTAAAAAGTTGCACCATATCAGATATGAAATTGAACAGTTAAAGCAAACCTAATGGGAATAGTTACCGATCAGGATTACGATCTTATAACACAGTCCTCTAGCAATGCAAATCGACAACATTCAAAAAGTAAAAAAAATACTTAAATCAAAACGTTTAATAAATCATTAAAGGAGAGATCTCCATATGAGGACGATAAAGTCAGCAATCTAAAGTCAACAGCAATCGATAAAACAAAGTTGGTTATCAATCTCTCTTCACATATATTAAGTCGAATAGAAATAAGTGTATGAGAAAAGGGACTAAATTTCATTGTGACAGTGGACAAGCTGAAACCTGACGATATCATCCCTAAAATAGAAACAGCACCAAGTGGGATAGACGAAACAACGGCTGATGAAGTACGCGCAATGTACACTAACATTAAAACTACAAAAACGAGGAAAGCCTAACCTGACAAAACCAGAGACAGAAGCCCTAAAAAACCTTGAAAATAACAAGGACATGGTAATCACTAAGTCAGACAAAGGAAATGCAACAGTAATATTAGACAAATCAGACTATTTGGAGAAGGCAAATACTCACATATGTTTTTTATTTTTTATTACAGTTTGATGCCACACCGTATTTTTGGTACAGGTATGAAATTTTCAGCATGTGACAACGGTTGCCCAAATTTTGCAGGCCGACCATAGATACCAGGTGTGCGTCGGCAGGGGATCGAGCCACGGACCATGTGCATGCTCGGCGAGCTTCCTAACCACTGTGCCACTGAGGCACAGAAGCCAGCTCCTCGACCGGGAAATTAAGAAATCAATAGACACCGTTATGCATGAGGTTAAGAAATCCACAGAGGGCTTTACGCACCAAATGCAGCCGTTTCTAGGCAATCATTGCTGAAGTCCTAGTCATTCAGAGAAAGAGAGAGAACCGAGATCTGTATACAAAAGAGAATTATTCAATTGCTTCTACTATCATGAGAAAGATCTTGTTTTTTTTCTGTCAATTTGGTTGTTTGCTTTTTCCCAACTCTTAATTCCTCTTGTATTTCCTTCAACCCCTCACCTAATATTACATTTTCACTCATTTTCCTGTGCATACTGATTACAGTTGGTTCATTAAGTATGTAAAGTCAGTGCTACCATATGGTTCAGAGACTTAGTGAGTCACGAAGTGCACTTCGAAGAAACTACAGACCTTCATCAACAGTTGTCTTCCCTCAATACTCAAGATCAGCTGGCCAGCAACAGGGATCTCTAGGAACGAGCCAGCCCAGCAGGAACCAACTGTGCAACAAACATGCAGGAAAAAATGGAGGTGGATCGGCCATACTCTGAGAAAAGCATCAAGTGACATCACACGACAGGACATTGCTCGAGTGAAACCCGAATGGGAAGCGGTGAGCTGGTCGTCAGTGTGAGGGCAGAAACATGGAGGAGGTCGTGCGAAGAGGAGATGGATGCATGTGAGCAGACGTGTAGCCAGGTGAAAAGACTGGCGGAGAACCGAGCGCAATGGAGACGTGAGGCTGAAGTTCTATGTTCCTCTAGGGACTACAGGAGACAGTAGTAATAATAATATGCATTGATTAATACTAACAACTATGAATATGACAAGTTATCATTTTTCTTACTGTCTTCTTTTGTGGAAAATTGTATGTAAATGAGATTCTACAGTTTAAAGAAATGAGTTCACCAAAAAGAGCTCCTTCTCCCAAATAACATGCTTTTTTTGTCCACTGACGCGTGGTTGGGCGATTATTCATGAATGAATTATACTTCATTGAAAGTTCTGCAATCAGAAAACTCACTGTAGCATGCATTTATTTGCAGAAATACAGATATTTACAAATATTTTAACAGTAAATCATGAAATGCAACTAACATGAGGTGAAGACGGTACTGATACAAATTTGAAAGCCAATACAACTGCAAAATTATCAGATTCAAAGAGGAAGAACATTTTTTCAGCTTAAAATGTAAAGGTTAAGGGTAAATTTGATGAAACTGCCCTCCTAATGCTGATTGTAGCAGTTTAACAGGATCTGGAATACAAGTGAAAACAGTCAAATTATGAACCCCTTAATATATGGGTAAAGAAAGAATTGTTTATGATAATTAAGCGCCATTTTAGTCAAATTTACAACAATAATTTACCAGTGAGAAAAAAAGAATAAATAACACATCTAGAAAAACGTGCTTCCAAAAGTTAATTTACTGGGGTTTGATTGGTTCTAAGATTACTCATGAACTGATTTCATTTACAGAACATTTGAAAGTCACAGAGTACTGGATATCTGTTTCGTCCTCGTTCATGACTTTTCGGTAGTACGCATTCATGATACAACCAAGGATCAAACCAAGAACTCTCAGATTATGAGCCAATTCCATTGTCCGTCCAGCCACTTAATTAGAATTTAATGGTCCAACAATTCTAACTTCTATCAATTCGCAATATACCACGAGCACCAGCCGATATCAGAGGAGAGTATTTCTTCTCACACCCAAGTTGATGAGCTCTGAAAGTCACAACTTCCTACTGGAATTCAGTCAACTTCATCCTATAGTCAGTCACTAGTAAGCATTTGAATTAATTTCCAAGTTTTAGTTTGTAGGGATTTGATTTGTTTCAGGTTTGACTACTGGTTGATATCACTACTGAACTGCTGGAAACCACACTGACGCTGGCGCTAAGTATGGCGTATTGAGAGGAGTTAAAACTGATTGGGTGA